AGTTCCAGGACAGCTAGGGCTACACAGAGGAAAAGCAAAACAATATTGCCCCTCGCCTCCAAACCAAAACAAAAATATTTAAAAAGCCTGGTGGTGGTGGCACATGCTTTTAATCTCAGCACCTGGGAGGCAGAAGCCTAGAAGAGTGAGTTCCAGGACTGTGAGGGCTACACAGTAAAATCCTGTCTTGAAAAACCAAAGGGAAAAAAAATTACATAGTAATAGGTAATGAGGACTATCTTCCTTAACCACACTAGTTCTGGGATATACAAAAGGGGAAATCCAAGCATTAGTGTGCAAAGGCAGCCCAGGACCTCCATGGTCAACTTTCCATTAATAATGTCCACCTTGCAGCTGAACACCAACCTACAGTTGGTAGAGCCAAAGGCGCCATCTGCCTTGGACACTTTTGAGTGTGGACACCTCAGAAACACTTAAGATTCCAGGCTGCAGCAAGCTCCTCCACTAACAATGTCCATTACAACAGCAACCAACAAAACCTAGTGGAAAGGCTAACAGTGTACCGTTTTCACTACCAACTAGTCCTCCACAGGTTAGGCAGTGGGCTGCTGGCTTTGATCTGAAGGGGGCTGGAGACCGCTTACAAACGGCCCTGGTTCAACTCCCAGTACCCACATAAGCTATCACACAGCCATCTGCTCCTTAAGCTCCTAGGCCTTTGAGGGAATCCGCACCCACATCCACACAAAGAATTGTAGGCCACTTCTACAGCACATGACTTTCCTTTTTTTTGGTTTTCTGAGACAGGGTTTCTCTGTGTAGTTTTGGAGCCTGTCCTGGAACTCACTTGGCAGCCCAGGCTGGCCTTGAACTCACAGAGATCCGCCTGGCTCTGCCTCCCGAGTGCTGGGATTAAAGGCGTGCACCACCACCCGGCGCCTTTCCTTTTTCAAGTAGGCAATGGATGCCTGTATCCTAGGTGACCTTCCCAGAGGTGGCAATTGATGTTTTGGTTGTATTGCAAGTCAAGGATTAACTTGCAACTGG